AAAAGTTTTCCAAATGCTTCTTTAACTTCCCATTAACCATCAAATAGCATCCTGTGTGAAGCATTACGGCCTTATTGTCATGAGACGAGAAGTATTCAAAACTGGCAGCAAGCTGAAGCTACTCATCTGCACTTCACTTGCCTGGTGTCAGGCACACAGAAATCTGTCCTGCCTTTCAATTTTCAACTGTCTACAAACTCTGCCAGTTGTTGAGATGAGAATGGAAAAATAAACCAAGGAATAATAAGAAAGGATAAGGTGTTACCATCTCTAAGAGATCTCAGAAGAGTAAATGAGAAAAAGAAAACTCTTGCCTATAGTTGGATTCATGTGGTGTACAGCCACAATTCACCCTGCAGGTGAAGACTGCATCTCGGACAAAATCTCTGTGGTCCAGGCTGACAGGTACATGTTACAGCAGCATCCTCTAGAAGGTGGACCTCAGCAAACAGCTCAAACTGCTGCTGAGCTGGTAGGGATGTCCTGGGCTTGCTACTTTGGAGTGCTATTATAAGTGACATTCTCGTGGCTGGGACACGTACCTGACTTGTAGTGGATGGGAAAAAGCACATGAATCCTTTTCTGAACCTCAGAGGATTAATTGGTCACCGTGCACGGGACCCCAATATAGCAAATCACTGAACACAGCTGAAGCAAGATAAAATGTTGACATTTATCCTAACATCATGACGCAAAGATGTTGGAAGTGAACTACCCAAGGGCTTAATATCCTTTGTTAGAAACACAGCAGTAGCACAACAACCAGCTCTTAAACAGCGTGTAAATGCTAGTATAGCGAAGTCTTTAAACAGTAATGTCCGGTTACAAAAGTTATGAGGAAATCTTCTTCTCTCGGTTATAGGAAATGCCCTTTTTGATGCTTTTCAAAGAATCATAGGCCTGTTGAGAAAAACATCTGTGCATGATTGCAACTACTCAAGTATTTTATCATTGCGTGTAACTGCAATAAAATCTTTGGAGTGAGAAAAATCCTGCCGATGCTATCTCCCTCTCGATAAGCTCCAGTTGTGAGAAGCAGAGGGAAGCATTTTGCTGGGCGGGAGGAGAAGGGGGCTCCTCTAACCTGAGAATGAGTTTCATTGGCTTCTCCCTGTTGATGGGTATCAGGTTAGAAGCATAACTTCTGCAAAAGCACTTGCAGTTTATGGTAGCCAGCTATTTCATTGCCACTAATCAGATTTGTAAAGTGCCATCCTGATGTTTATCTGCTCCAGGTGAAAGGCATTGCTGCAGCACACGGGATGCAGTTGCTAAGCAACTGCCTTCAATTAAAACATCTTCGTAGATATCTGCAGTATACAAGAAATTAGATTTAACTCCTCAGGAGCTCAGGCAGGAACAACCCCTGAACCTAGAAGGAACTGTCATGGATCCCTCCTCCTTTATGCTGGCGGTGGCTGTTATATCACCAATAATGCAGAGCTTGGGAGTGTTTTATTTATCCCCAGGCTAACAGTGTGGCTCCTGCACATACTTATCATTAAGTATTTTCAGAGTTGCAGGCACCTGTCTAAAATCAGATGGCTCTGAAGAGGGAGAGGTGCTGGAGCCAACCTCTGACTTTAGGACTTGTTTTGTCCTGGGAAGCACGGCTATCAGCAGGCTCATCCCCAACCTCAAAGCAGGGCTCAAATCCAAGAGTGCTCATTTTAAATAGGCTCTGAATAGATGAACTTTTAAAAACAGATTCAAGCCTGGATTTTGACAGGTGTTTGTGCGAGCTGCTCCCACGTGGAGCCCATTGCTGTGGGTCAGGGCTGGAGCTGCCAGGCTCCCTGACACCTCCTGTGTCGCAGCGGGAATGTGATGTATTGTCACAGCCAACCGATGACAAACTCACACAGACAGGCTGCTTTGGTGCTCCAGCACTCACTGATACACCCCTTCACCTAAAATCTTGGAATCACAGCCTCCTGAAGGCCACAGACTCCTGGGGCTTCCTCCTAAAAGCAGCACAAGGCCATTTGTTGGGAAGCCCTGGCAGTTTTAGTGTGCCTCCCTAAAGCTGGAGCAGAAATACGAGAGGGTTTCTGTTACAAGCTAGGGACAATTGCTGCCTGCTTTTGTGGTGGCTGAAATTCCCCAGCTGGTTTCTTGTTTGTGGAAGACAAAACAATGGAAAGCACTTGGGAAGGTGACGTGCTGCTGCAGGGTGAGGAGGGGTGGAAACACAAGGGCGAGAGGCCTTTTACATGGGGAAACTCAACCCTTTTAAACTCTGGAAGTCCAGTTTTCTGATCTCCAAAATGCTCAGATACTTAAATTGTTTTGAAAACTAACAGGATCTGAGTGTTTTTTCTTGTAGCCCATGAAAATCTTACCTGAGCTGCCTGAAGATCCCAGGCAGGACCGTGGGACTGTTGTGGGAAATGTTTCACGGTGTTTGTGTGATACCTGGGTTAAAGCAGTCTCCAAAAAGGAGCTGATGTTTCATACTTCTGCATGCTGGATGTTAGAGACTGATACTAGGAAGCCTAAGTACAGAAACAGGCACACATTTGTTTCATTATATGTTTACAAGGTCCAGTGCTTTCACCTTTTCCATTATTTTGAAACACCAAATGCTTGCAATCATCTTGCACCATGACAGAATATAATTTGAATGCTTCATAGCAGAAGAAATTTAGCATAAGCAGTGAAGTAACTAAATCCCAGCTTTTTAAATGAAAGAAGTTTATACACCTTTTGCCCGCTCTTGGTACTTGTTCTGTGTTGCTATTCAGAGAAGAAAAAGGGCCCTGTGGTTTTCTCAGCTGCTGACCAGAGTACCCCACAATTTGCAGCTATATTTAACATAATAAAAATTAAATGTAAATATAAATTAAACATAATTGCGGGAAATCAGGCTGATTTTGATGGGTATCCTTGCTCTGAAACCTGCTATGTTCAGTGACTTTTTTCAGGATTCATTTAGCTATAGCCAGCGTGCTGAAAACACAGCTGAGGAGTTCTGTAATTTGCCTCTGAGACTTCTCTGTGGCTATCTTTTTAATGGGATTGTAAATTATATGCACTTTGTAAGGGGACTACAGTAGACTGAACAATTGTGTTAATGACTCTTATCAAGTGATTAACTGGGAAGGCAGGGTGTAGAAGATTAGATTATTTCACCTGTGAGACTGCCAGGGGAGCATCTTTATTACTTGTCTAATTAGCTTGGTACCATTTTACAGTGGCTCCCAGTAGTGCTGCAAAAGTTAGAGGGATTTCTGCTGCCATCCCTTTCTGAAATCGCAGTGCGGCCATTTCAGGCACGCTGGGGTGAAATGCTGGGGCATGAAAAATGAAAAATCTTTTGGAGGAGCTTAAAAGAATCACTTAGCAAGGTGCTCTGTGTATGTGAAGCCTCGTACAGGTGGTGACTGTTTTATCAGAGCGGGGCTCCTACCTTGATGAATTTGCCACCCAGAGCAAAATGTACGGCATACAGCAAGCTGGATGCAAAAGGGGAGAAATATAATCTCTGCTAAATCAACCTGATCAGTTTGAGAAGTTGGCTTTTAGCTCAACTCTAAAATGCTGTTAGTGCTGGGATCCAAGAAGGACCACGGGGTTCGTGTTAGCCCAGACAGCCCTTTTGCTAATCTTCTTCCTGATTTAATTGACCTGTGCATCTCTCTTAGCATAATTACGCCCATCCTTAAAAATGAATATGGTGCGGATTTACTTCTTGAGAGTGTTGAGAAAGCTTTAAGGAACTTGCAGTTAGATCTGCTCAGAAAAACGTGGATCTTTGTTACCGCCTGTCTGCTGGGATGTAAGGTCTGGGGGATGGTTGGGCTGATGTGGGTGCTGTCCTGCTGGAGATATTTGCCTTTGGAGGACTTCTTTCCTGCTGAAGTTGTAATGATCTTTATGGCTGAGCAGTTTCTGGATATTAAATATAAAACACTTTCTACTTGTGATAGAAAATACTGCCTTGTATGATCCAGAGGTGCTGGGAATGGACAGGAGGGTAGTGCAGGGATGGAGGCTGACATAACTTGTGTCTGCTGCCTCTAGCGAGCACAGCTCAGCTGGCAAATTAATACGGGCATTGCTGCCTTCTTAGCACGTTTGCAGAGTTATAAGCATCAGAATGAGTGAGTAGTTTCATTATTATCAGCGTGGAAAAGCTATTTCTCATGTTGAAGACAAACAGGAGTGTGTGTGGTGGAAATTACAATACACATAAAGATTAAGACCCTCATCAAAACTGCTTGCTCTGTAGTTCATCATGGGGGAGGAAATAGTGTTTCTGTGGGTGCACAGGGTCCTCCGTGAACCTAAAATCTGTAGCTCCAGCTGCTCTTCTCTGGGTCCTCAATTAGAGGCTTCAAGTGGCCTCCTCCTGGCCAGAGATGTGTGTCCCTATGTGTGCCATGTCACAGGGCAAAGCTTCCTGGCATTAAACCCCATATGTGAAACCCCACAGACGTGTCCTACAAGCACAGGCTGTGAGGGTGGTGGCGTGGGGGCCATTGGTAGGTCTGCCACAGCGCAGTGTCACAGGTATCAGTGCACCCTTTCCTAAAAACATCGCCTTTGGTTATGGACCAAATGCATCCTGCTTGGCCTAAACGAGACTTTCAGAGCTGTGAGAAGTGTGAAAAGGCATTTCTGCAATAGACGTGTGGTTTTTGCACAGCAACCTCCTGATTGCTAACCTAGTTCATCAGTCTTCGCTTTTGTGGAAATTAGTAGACAGAACCACGTGCTGAAAAGCTGAAAATTGGATTAATATCTTTCCCCTCAGTTTTAAAACAGTCATCTGTTGTTGTCATTAGAAGTAATAGGCTCACGAGCTATAAAAAGAGCTGCTTGCTTTTTCTGGGGGAAACGAAACCTCCGCTGGGAGTTCGGGAGATGGATCTGTCATGTCAGATTTTCCCCCTGCCTTCCCCTTCCTGGCATGCTCAAATCCACCCCGCCCTGCTTGCAGTCTCATCACACCTCTCTCAAAACTAAGCTGGACCAGCTGTAGCTTGTGATGAAAACCTTCACAGGTGACGGGGTGCTGGATGGTGGGGACTTCTTCCAGGGGGTTGGCTGCAGATTGGTGTTCTTCATTTGTAAAGTAACTCACTTTGAAAAATCACCTTCCTACAGCACACCACTTGCTGTCTTGACCAGCTCCAGCTCCGTGGAGGTTGTCACGGTGGCAAAGGCGAAGAATAGTGGACAACATATGCACAGGTTATTTGCTTAAGAATAACTGCAGCTGATGAGGCTTTGCACTGCCACATCAGGTCTCCTAAAATGGGATTAAAATCCCAGAAGGGGTTATAGCATCTCCTCCTTCCACAAATGAACGATGCAGTGCATGCTGCTGCTGGCAGGGCAGCTGCCATGTCTGAGTCCAAAGCTTTCTGGACTTCAGCGAGAAATCAGCTTTCTCGCCATGCAACTGGAATCCTAGTGTGTATATTTGTGTGCATGTATATAATATATATATATATACTTATATTTTTGGCTTGACACATGGCCTCTCAGATGCCTTCCTTGCAGGGTCTCCTGTAGCAGTCGTGTTGTTCCCGACGTTTCCCTCGCTCTTCAGCCTGGCTGCAGTTTCAGAAGCGCTGCGGCTGCAGAAAAGCCAGGATGTCAAGAGGCTTCCTTCTCGTTAGGTGGTTCTGCCTGCAAAAGTTAAAAGCTTGTGTATTTTGAGGCAGAAGTGGTGCCGTTGAAAGCCTTGACCACAGTGACTGCATCAGAAAGAAGAGGCTTTTTTAAAAGGAATCTAACCTGGCTTCTTAATGGTGTTCATCCCTGTGCAAGGTTTCCAGAGCTGCTGCAACTATGAAATAATGCTCTGTAGCCATGATTCAATAGATTACTCTTCCTGAGGGCAGATCTGAAGGAAGGAAAAAAAAAAAATAATAAAAAAAACACACACAACAATTTATTGATATCGCAGAAAGTGGAGAAGAGCTCCACAGGTCATCCTGTGAGTGCTCCTGTCCCCTGGGACATATCACCAGCTTCACTGCGTTTCCCTTCTGGCCTTTTACCATCAGAGGAATTAATTTATCAGCTGGCCTGGGCATCCTTGTACAGCCAGGATCATAGCAAAAGGACTAGGCACCAGCTTAGTTCAAATGTCTGAAGGCCAAGACTTTCAGCAGTTTGTTCTCTGTGCTGGGTTTACATTTAGTTGATGCAGTTTCCTTTCGAGCCCTATCTTGATTAGATGACGGTGAGGAGAGAGCATCGTGACTTACAAGATAGGGAAGAGAAACAATTAGGTAGCATGCCCATGGGGTATAAAAAGGAGGAAGAGGGGTTGCATGAAGAAAATGAAAATATCACCGATTCGTGTATTATGTGATGGAAGTGTCCTGTGGAATATGAGGCAATCACATCCCATGGGAACTCTAAACAGCAACGAGTAAAACTGACAAACGATGCAGTGTGGAGCTTACTGGAGCAGCCAAGTTACCGTTCTGCCAAAGGTAAAACTTTTCCAACTCTGCCTCATTGGGTTTTCAGTGAAATCCTGTAAAGAGCAGTCTGGGAATAATCAGAAATGCTGGGGAATTTTGGTTGCGATTTTATTTTTTTTCTCTGTGGGACAGTCTTACAAGAATTCCTAATTGAAAGGATCCCAGACTTGCACCCCTAGCTCCATCCTGAAGCCCTGTGGGTAACCTCAGAAGCCAGTCTGGGAGCAGCTCAGATCAGCATGGTGCTTGCAGAGTCCTCGGACAAGAAGTCCCTGAGGCAGAAGGTTTCTTGGTACTGGCATTGTAGGCAATGCCCCACTGCTGCATGTGTGGAGACATCATATATATGATATATGGGATCTGGGATATCATATATATGATATATGGGGTATGGGGTATCATATATATGATATATGGGATCTGGGATATCATATAGATGATATATGGGGTATGGGATCCGACCTGGTCACCCACGCTGCGGCTCTCTGTACCAGCTAACCCACTTCAGCAAGGCTAATTCACATTTTGTTTCAAAATCTGAATGCACAACTTGTTTAAGTGGGTTTAGGTAACTCTGTTAATGGCATGATTTTTTTAATGGGGTCTGGTAAATTGCTCTGACAGCTGTGGATCGCAGGGCCCCTGTAGCTATGTTAATCTCGTGCAGTTAATGTACTTTTCTTGCATATTCATAGCTAAAATGTTCAAGGTCCCTATTAGGTTGCCTAGTAGGGTTTCCCCCTCCCAGCCCCGCCATACAAAAGCCCCTATCATCTGATGTGTCTTTTGTTCTGAGGTATGGAGCTGTTGCCACCATCTGACATTTAATTACTGACTTCACCAGATGCTCAGCGTACTCAGGGCATTGCATTAGCTTTTATGCTCCAGCCTCTAGATGGGATGCAGAAGGCTCCACATGTCCCCAAAACGTGGGCATTAACGCAGATCTCTGGTGTGTGCCCAAACGGGGACTCTTTGTGCCTCTGATACAGCCCCACTCTGGCACACGGGTGTCACCAGAGATGTTGCTTTGGGGACAAGCACCCCGATGTGTGCTGAGAGGCAGCAGCAGCTTTAGGTGGCTGCTCATGAAATCCAGCACATTTCCCATGGGAGCAGCTCCTCCACACCAGCCCAGAGAAAAGTTGAGTAAAAGCCTTCACCACAAAGGATCCTGATCTTCCTGTCCTCTTTACACTTGTATCACGCTTAGAGGCTTAATTAAGATGCTGTTTGACAGACCCTGTCAGACTGAAACATGGAGTCCGCATCATTTAAAGCAGGGGTCATCATCTTCCATGGGAAAAGTGAGCAAAACATATTTCTGGATTTTTTTCTGGGGTGTTAGAGAAGCAGCTGAGGCTGCTGCTTCAGTGCTGGGCTGGGCTGTGAACAGCAAAGGGATCGGAGCTGGTGCTGAGCACAGCTTTGGTGAGGTTGTATGGAGATTCTGCAGGAAGGAAGCAAATAACATTTGCTGTGGGTTTTTCTTTTTGGCTATTAGCTCAGGTCTAACCCAGCTTCTTACCTGAGCATGGGGAGCAGCACAGATGAGCAGCACATGGGTATTTCATGGAGAGAAAGGAGCAGAGAGCCAGGGATGCTCCTGGGATGCAGGAGCAGGTGGAGCGGCTGCCTTGGCTCCCAGCTCCCCATGCCGGGGCGAGGGGCAGCAGCAGAGTGGATTTCTTTGTTCTGTACCTGCCTCTGATGACCACGGGAGAGGCAAATGGCAGGAGGTGACAGTATTTAAGCCTATAAACTGGCTTCCTGATAGGTGAGGGGAAGGGGCACCAGGTGGCCTTGCTCGGGGGACAGATGCTGCCCAGCTTCTGGTGCTGGCACCTGCCAGCATTTAGCTCTCTCCTACCAGCCTTGTCATGCTGGGAGAGGAACTATCAGCGGGTAAGTGCTGTGGGGAAGTCACAGACGTGCTTTAAAATGCTGTGGAGCAATGGGATGGGGTGCTGAGCTCGCTGGCAGGAGCAGCTGTGAGAGCACTGATGCTCCTCGCTGGTATTTGTGAATTAAGGTCCCTGCGTAGCGAGGCAGGCTGGTGACACGTTCTCCTTTGTGGTCCTGGTTGGGCTGTGCCTGGTGGGTACTGTGCCTCCTGGGGAATGTGTCTGAATAACCTCAGTCTAAAATAACCATTGGATGAAATTTCAATTAAAATTTGGAAGCACATCAGTGAAATAGAGAGCTACCCAAAGCTGACATGTTTGAATAATTGCTGTACTTGCCCTTAATTATAAAAAGGAAAAACAAACCTTTTCTGCTGCTATTTTTGGGCTGTGGTTCTACTAAAATGGGAGCTTTCTGCTCCAATCTCCATCTCTCTGACCTCTCGGGAAGCACCACTGTACCTTGGCTCGGCAACGATGGACAGACCTCTTAGGCAAACGATAGCACGCGTGTCCAAAAAGGATTTTGAAAATTAATTTTTAATATGTGGCCTCTGCCCTGATTTCTCTGCGCTAGTATAAACCCACGAGTATAAATAGCTCCACTGATCTGAACGGATATTTTGGGGGCACAGCAACAACAAAGCCTCGTTGCCTGCTGTTCGAGGTAAATATGTATCCAGGCGTGATTTAATGTCTGCACATTTCTTTCCTTAGACGTTACGCTGACATAACAGCTTTTGTGAAGCATACTTCTCCAAAAGGAATTTAGGGACTGGTGCATTTAGATTGTTTGAATATTTATTTCCCAAAGGAGCCCGTGGCCTAGAAACATCCAGGAAACGTGTTCCTTCCTCGGCTGCCCTGCGCACCAGTCACCGCTCTTTGCCTCGGCCGAGCAGGAAAGGGGAGCCCCGAGCACGGCAGCAGCAGGATTTGCAAACTGCCGGCACTGGGGGGCCTCCGTGGTACCTGTTGTCCGTGGGCTCCTGGGCTTTATGGGTTCAGCACCTCCCAAACCCACTTTTGTGCTCCTTGGCATCTGGTCTGGCCCCAAGCACCCCGCACCCGCTGTCTCCATGGCCAGTCAAACGTGGGATGACTTCACCGTGTGAAGCTCGACAAGGAGCAAAGTGTGGCAGAGCTGTTTTAGTTTGCTCTCCAAACCAGCTTTGCACTTCGGGCTTTCACCGCTTTCTCCTCCTGAGGTGCCCACGTCTGTCTGCAGCTCCCCGAGTGCCACTAATGTCTGCATCCAACTGGAGTGGGAAAACGAAAGCCGCAGTAAATTTTACAGTCTGTTTACATTTTAACAAGTTTTATAGAGGCACTGTAATTCATGGCGTGCTCCAACAGCAGTATGGATCTCTTCCAGTTCAATTTTCCGAAGTCCGAGCTTGCAGCTGGGTCACTCCTGGCGAAATGTGTGCGGTGCCAATTCGGGGCCGTGAGGAGCCCCCAGCAGCAGCCGCCGTCCCCACAGCCACTGGGTGCCACACCGGGCCCCAGGGCACGGCGCTGGCCCCGCTTTGTGCGGACTGGCTTGGTAAACTTGGCTGCGAGGAGCAATAATCAATACTTCATGTTTAATGACGCAAAACTGAAATTAGTATGGATTTTATGTCTCCTTCTCTTCCCAATTATGCAAACGCTACCGTGCCTCTTTTGTCGCTGCCTTATGCTACGGCTTTCATACAGACTGTCTGGTGATGTTTAATTGAAAGGCTGAATAGTCAAAAATGTCACAACCAATTTTAGTTTTTGCTTTTTTTGTTCAGTCTTCACCCTTAGGTTAATAGAAAATGATGTCAAACACAAGAAATGATTTATGTAAGTCGTGCAGGTTTCGTCACCCAGGGCTATATATAAAGTCAATTGCAAATTGTTTTCACATTCTAAATTACCTTCCATAGCTCTGGGATACACTGAAAAAAATGACCAGTGGAATAATAAGGGAGAGTAAAAGGTTATCTTCTGAACTGAACTCTGCGTCAAAGAAAATAATTTTGGAAGTTGTTTATTTTTTAATATGTCAGAAGAGGAAGTTCCTCAGAGCAGGCAAAAAAAAAAAAATATATATATATATATATATTTAAAAAAAGGAAGGCAAAAATAAAAAGTTTCACATCTGGATCATTTCCAGTGGTGGATTATCGGGAAGCAGCCAGGCCCCCTGTACTACGCGTGGTGCTTTATCAGCTTCAGTGTGTCAACAGGACGGCGCTGCAATTAGAGGCCCAGAGGGCCAAAGACTGGGGCAAAGACGGAGGAGAAATCCGACTTGTCAGCTTGACAAATCTAGGTTATGCATAAAACATATTTTGCAGTAATAGCCCGTCCAAGGCTGAGGGAATGAAAGTTGCATTAGGAGTAAATCAGCTACCAACTGTGATCTCGTTTCATGTCGAATGGCGCAGAACCTTGTACAAGATTAAAAAGCACCAGGTAAAATTTCTCTGTTTCACAAAATCAGCTGTATTTGAGAAAGCAGGCAGTAGTGCTGGCTGATCTGCTGGGCCCCTAGAGACAGCAA